CTCTCCTTTTCACCACTATGACCAGCAGCTACTCCTCTCTCCTTTTCACCACTATGACCAGCAGCTACTCCTCTCTCCTTTCCACCACTATGACCAGCATGCCCATAAAGCCCTGTGGTAATCCTAATGCCCTAGTCAAAGTATACGTCCCAAATGGCACCCTATTCCCTATATAACTGTATTGCCTTACTTTTTACCAGGGCCCATAGGGAATAGGGTGCAATTTGGGACACAGTCCAAGTCACAGGCTATCAGCTCCCTCCTGGACCAATGGGAGGTCTGGTCTGCCAGGCTGACAAGAGGCTCTTTGCTCTCTCAGGCTTTATTTGCCTGAGCATTACAAGGCCTGTTTTTAAAGACATTACACAGTGTGGTGTGTGTGTGTGTGTGTGTGTGTGTGTGTGTGTGTGTGTGTGTGTGTGTGGTGTGTGTATGCACGTTCGTGTGGTGTGTGCCCACAGAGAGGATAAGGAGGGTGATAGAGAGAGGGGAGCATTTAGCCGTTTACCTCACCTGCGGCACGCAGACGTAGAGTTGGAAAGCAGTCAAACCCAGCACAGCACTGCACTTCCCCCCTCATACCTCACACTGTAGTGTCGGCCAATTAGAGGCAGACTAGAAGGCCCCATGGAGGCCCCCTGGCTGGCTGACTCAGCAGATCTGGCTGCTTGGAGGGACATATTCTAGCCTGGTCTGTGTTCCTGCATCTCTCTCTTCTACAGCCCCAGAGGTCATATTCTAGCCTGGTCCGTCTCTCTTCTACAGCCCCAGAGGTCATATTCTAGCCTGGTCCGTCTCTCTTCTACCAGCCCAGAGGTCATATTCTAGCCTGGTCCGTCTCTCTTCTACAGCCCCAGAGGTCATATTCTAGCCTGGTCCGTCTCTCTTCTACAGCCCCAGAGGGGGTCATATTCTAGCTGGGTCCGTATCTATTCTACAAGCCCCAGAGGGTAATATTATAGCCTGGTCCGTCTCTTTTCTACAGACCCCAGAGGTATATTCTAGCCTGGTCCGTCTCTTCTACAGCCCCAGAGGGGGTCATATTCTAGCCTGGTCCGTCTCTCTTCTACAGCCCCAGAGGGGGTCATATTCTAGCCTGGTCCGTCTCTCTTCTACAGCCCCAGAGGGGGTCATATTCTAGCCTGGTCCGTCTCTCTTCTACAGCCCCAGAGGGGGTCATATTCTAGCCTGGTCCGTCTCTCTTCTACAGCCCCAGAGGGGGTCATATTCTAGCCTGGTCCGTCTCTCTTCTACAGCCCCAGAGGTCATATTCTAGCCTGGTCCGTCTCTCTTCTACAGCCCCAGAGGTCATATTCTAGCCTGGTCCGTCTCTCTTCTACAGCCCCAGAGGTCATATTCTAGCCTGGTCCCGTCTCTCTTCTACAGCCCCAGAGGTCATATTCTAGCTGGTCCGTCTCTCTTCTACAGCCCCAGAGGTCATATTCTAGCCTGGTCCGTCTCTCTTCTACAGCCCCAGAGGTCATATTCTAGCCTGGTCCGTCTCTCTTCTACAGCCCCAGAGGGTCATATTCTAGCCTGGTCCGTCTCTCTTCTACAGCCCCAGAGGGGGTCATATTCTAGCCTGGTCCGTCTCTCTTCTACAGCCCCAGAGGTCATATTCTAGCCTGGTCCGTCTCTTCTACAGCCCCAGAGGGGTCATATTCTAGCCTGGTCCGTCTATCTTCTACAGCCCAGGGGGGTCATATTCTAGCCTGGTCCGTCTCTCTTCTACAGCCCCAGAGGGGGTCATATTCTAGCCTGGTCCGTCTCTCTTCTACAGCCCCAGAGGGGGTCATATTCTAGCCTGGTCTATGAACATGTTTGTCAAGTCATCTCTCTGGCTAACCATTGGCTGGGACTGGTCATGGTGTCACACGCACACCCACGCCTACGCCCACAGACACACACAGACACACACAGACACACACACACACACACACACACACACACACACACACACACACACACACCACACACCAAACCACTGCTGAGATCACTGTACTGCTCTGCAAACACCTCAGGGATTTTAATGCGGTTTTATTTTCCTCATAGTAAGTTAAAGATCTACTTGACTTTTTTTCCCCTAGTTTCAAAATTCCTCTGGTAGTTTCTGATCTGGAGAACTAGAGCTGGGTGTCTATAGAAGTATGGCCAAGTAGGTCAGAAAGAAAGGAAAGGAATGAAAATGAGCCGTCCTCTGAGGGATGACTGGATCTGATGGGAAACAGTGGAGTATCTGAGGGATGACTGGATCTGATGGGAAACAGTGGAGTATCTGAGGGATGACTGGATCTGATGGGAAACAGTGGAGTATCTGAGGGATGACTGGATCTGATGGGAAACAGTGGAGTATCTGAGGGCTGACTGGATCTGATGGGAAACAGTGGAGTATCTGAGGGATGACTGGATCTGATGGGAAACAGTGGAGTATCTGAGGGCTGACTGGATCTGATGGGAAACAGTGGAGTATCTGAGGGCTGGGATGGCTGGAGGTTTAACACAGCTGACTTCTAACTGGCTGTCAAAAACTTCACCCACACACCATCAATACAACAATGTAGAAACAAGGTTTCTGGCTTCTAAACATTTGCCTTGAAGCCAGGATCGGAATGCTAAAAAGTGTGAACTTCATGTGTGCTTATGGCAGCTAGCTAGGCTACATAACATAAGATACAAAAATATGATGTTCTAATGCATTACACATGTGGAATCCATTAGGTGGTCAATAACAGTACCTTGTGTTATCTTTCTGTGTCAAACCAGCGAAATAAGTTCTAGAGGATTTACACATTCACTAATCAGGTGTCAATCACTGTCACACATCCATGTAAAAACAACACCAGGGCCAACACCTAAATGTTCCCAGAATTCCACACAGAATTCCATATAGCCCCTATCCGCACAACATCAGACAGACTCTCCCCAGGAAGGCTTAGTCAGGCTCCCACTTCTCCATCCATGTAATCTGCACAAATATTCCTGGGACCTCAGCGTCTCTCCCACCACATTATGGCCAGGTGCCACGGTCAACTGTAATCACTGACTGAGATTACAGCAGAGAGAGCAGGGTTAGAAATGATGCTGGGGATTGGTAGTCACAATCACACTGGGTAGTTTATGGTTCCATCCAGCCGGCCTCCAGCCCTCCACAACACAGGGTGTGGAAGTGATTATGGCCCCTAAGCTCCCGTGACATGGATATCTCCACGCTTTTTAAACACTCGGTCAGAGGATCATACTTTAATCAGGTTGGAAAGACACTAGGCATGACACAGGCGCCTCTGGAATGTAGATTGTAACCTGTAACCTCCAGTGGTGGAAAAAGTTCCCAATTGTCATACTTGAGTAAAAGTAAAGATACCATAATAGAAAATGACTCAAGTAAAAATGAAAGTCACCCAGTAAAATACTACTTGAGTAAAAGTCTAAAAGTATTTGGTTTTAAATATACTTAAGTATCAAAAGTAAATGTAATTGCTAAAATATACTTAAGTATCAAAAGTAGAAGTAAAAGTATAAATACTTTAAAATTCCTTATATAAAGAAAACCAGACAGTGTAGTTTTCTTGTTTTTATTTTATTTACGGATAGCCAGGGGCACGCTCCAACACTCAGACATAATTTACAAATGAAGCATGTGCTTAGTGAGTCCGCCAGATCAGAGGCAGTAGGGATGACCAGGGATGTTCTCTTGATAAGTGTGTGAATTAGACCATTTTCCTGTCCCGCTAAGCATTCAAAATGTAACGAGTACTTGTGGTTGTCAGGGAAAATGTATAGAGTAAAAAGTACATTATTTTCTTTAGGAATATAGTGAAGTAAAAGTAAAAGCTGTCAAAAATATAAATAGGTAAGTAAAGTACAGATAACCCAAAAAAACTACTTGAGTAATACTTTAAAGTATTTCTGGTAACCTCTATTACAGATGGTAGACAGAGGGACTTTCTCCTTCAGAATGGGATACAGCTTGTGTTGAACCTGGAGAAGTGTTGCTGTTCTAACCTCCAGTGTAGCACAGTGGCCAGTCTTAGGTCTGTTGAAGTTGTCGCCTCTAGATAGATACACAGCGGCCAGTCTTAGGTCTGTTGAAGTTGTAGCCTCTAGATAGATACACAGTGGCCAGTCTTAGGTCTGTTGAAGTTGTAGCCTCTCGATACACGTGGCAAGATTAGGTCTGTTGAAGTGTATCCCAAATAGAACACAGTGGCCAGTCTTAGGTCTGTTGAAGTTTGTAGCCTCTATGATACACAGGGCCAGTCTTAGGTCTGTTGAAGTTGTAGCTTCTAGATAGTACACAGTGGCCAGTCTTAGGTCTGTTTGAAAGTTGTCAGCCTCTAGATACACAGTGGCCAGTCTTAGGTCTGTTGAAGTTGTAGCCTCTAGATACACAGTGGCCAGTCTTAGGTCTGTTGAAGTTGTAGCCTCTAGATAGATACACAGTGGCCAGTCTTAGGTCTGTTGAAGTTGTAGCCTCTAGATAGATACACAGCGGCCAGTCTTAGGTCTGTTGAAGTTGTAGCCTCTAGATAGATACACAGCGGCCAGTCTTAGGTCTGTTGAAGTTGTAGCCTCTAGATAGATACACAGCGGCCAGTCTTAGGTCTGTTGAAGTTGTAGCCTCTAGATACACAGTGGCCAGTCTTAGGTCTGTTGAAGTTGTAGCCTCTAGATAGATACACAGTGGCCAGTCTTAGGGTCTGTTGAAGTTGTAGCCTCTAGATACACAGTGGCCAGTCTTAGGTCTGTTGAAGTTGTAGCCTCTAGATAGATACACAGTGGCCAGTCTTAGGTCTGTTGAAGTTGTAGCCTCTAGTAGATCACAGGGCCAGTCTTAGGTCTGTTGAAGTTGTAGCCTCTAGATAGATACACAGTGGCCAGTCTTAGGTCTGTTGAAGTTGTAGCCTCTAGATACACAGTGGCCAGTCTTAGGTCTGTTGAAGTTGTAGCCTCTAGATACACAGTGGCCAGTCTTAGGTCTGTTGAAGTTGTAGCCTCTAGATAGATACACAGCGGCCAGTCTTAGGTCTGTTGAAGTTGTAGCCTCTAGATACACAGTGGCCAGTCTTAGGTCTGTTGAAGTTGTAGCCTCTAGATACACAGTGGCCAGTCTTAGGTCTGTTGAAGTTGTAACCTCAGATAGATACACAGTGGCCAGTCTTAGGTCTGTTGAAGTTGTAGCCTCTAGATACACAGTGGCCAGTCTTAGGTCTGTTGAAGTTGTAGCCTCTAGATACACAGTGGCCAGTCTTAGGTCTGTTGAAGTTGTAGCCTCTAGATAGATACACAGTGGCCAGTCTTAGGTCTGTTGAAGTTGTAGCCTCTAGATAGATACACAGCGGCCAGTCTTAGGTCTGTTGAAGTTGTAGCCTCTAGATAGATACACAGCGGCCAGTCTTAGGTCGTTGTGAAGTTGTAGCCCTGATAGATACACAGCGGCCAGTCTTAGGTCTGTTGAAGTTGTAGCCTCTAGATACACAGTGGCCAGTCTTAGGTCTGTTGAAGTTGTAGCCTCTAGATAGATACACAGTGGCCAGTCTTAGGGTCTGTTGAAGTTGTAGCCTCTAGATACACAGTGGCCAGTCTTAGGTCTGTTGAAGTTGTAGCCTCTAGATAGATACACAGTGGCCAGTCTTAGGGTCTGTTGAAGTTGTAGCCTCTAGATACACAGTGGCCAGTCTTAGGTCTTGTTGAAGTTGTAGCCTCTAGATAGATACACAGTGGCCAGTCTTAGGTCTGTTGAATTTTGTAGCCTCTAGATACACAGTGGCCAGTCTTAGGTCTGTTGAAGTTGTAGCCTCTAGTTTACACAGTGGCCAGTCTTAGGTCTGTTGAAGTTGTAGCCTCTAGATACACAGTGGCCAGTCTTAGGTCTGTTGAAGTTGTAGCCTCTAGATACACAGTGGCCAGTCTTAGGTCTGTTGAAGTTGTAGCCTCTAGATACACAGTGGCCAGTCTTAGGTCTGTTGAAGTTGTAGCCTCTAGATACACAGTGGCCAGTCTTAGGTCTGTTGAAGTTGTAGCCTCTAGATAGATACACAGTGGCCAGTCTTAGGTCTGTTGAAGTTGTATCCTCTAAATAGATACACAGTGGCCAGTCTTAGGTCTGTTGAAGTTGTAGCCTCTAGATACACAGCGGCCAGTCTTAGGTCTGTTGAAGTTGTAGCCTCTAGATAGATACACAGTGGCCAGTCTTAGGTCTGTTGAAGTTGTAGCCTCTAGATACACAGTGGCCAGTCTTAGGTCTGTTGAAGTTGTAGCCTCTAGATACACAGTGGCCAGTCTTAGGTCTGTTGAAGTTGTAGCCTCTAGATAGATACACAGTGGCCAGTCTTAGGTCTGTTGAAGTTGTAGCCTCTAGATAGATACACAGTGGCCAGTCTTAGGTCTGTTGAAGTTGTAGCCTCTAGATGATACACAGCGGCCAGTCTTAGGTCTGTTGAAGTTGTAGCCTCAGATAGATACACAGTGGCCAGTCTTAGGTCTGTTGAAGTTGTAGCCTCTAGATAGATACACAGTGGCCAGTCTTAGGTCTGTTGAAGTTGTAGCCTCTAGATAGATACACAGCGGCCAGTCTTAGGTCTGTTGAAGTTGTAGCCTCTCGATACACAGCGGCCAGTCTTAGGTCTGTTGAAGTTGTAGCCTCTAGATACACAGTGGCCAGTCTTAGGTCTGTTGAAGTTGTAGCCGCTGCTGGAATATGTAAAGCACCAGCAAACTTGGGGTAAAATACAGATTTCTTTTTACATAGTGAATAAATAATATATTACAAAGTTGAAGTTGAGTTGCTGAAAGATCCCATACGGCAAAAAAAACAGAGAAAGAAAATAAACCAAAATGAACAAGTAAAGGTGAAATACCTCATCAGGCCTTTTTACAAGCCTAATAATCATAACGAATCAACAACAGTGAACAGCGGGGGGTTGTGAACTTGGGCACATCCACTCAATAAAAAGCCAGCAGGCAGAATTACCCTGCTATTACAAATAATGCCCGGCCGCCTTCCCCCTAAACCCCCTCAATCCCCCTCTACACCCCCTGGCCTTCTCAGACGCACTGTGTGGGTTTAATGACACACATCCATACCAGACAGAGACAGTTGGCACAGTGATGCCCCTGGCAGCCTCCCTCTTTGACGAGAGAAGAAGTAGACCACTTTAACCTCACAAGGCTCTCTCTAGACTTCCATAAGCCTCACAATGACTTTTGATGAAACTGGGAAATGAGAGTAGTGCCTCGGCTCCAATGGAAACACCAAGCCCAGTGAACAGCCTATGAATTCCAAGTAACACAAATAAATCCATAGATGCTTGTGGTCTGGCCGACCAGGAAATCTCATGCCAACTGTGGGTCGGTCTGACATCGACTGAGAGCTGGGCGGAACATGGATTTCATATCAACACACTGCAGGGTAGAGCTGAGCACATAAAACCATATGGACTGAATAAAATAACATGGAGGTTGATATTGTACTCAAATGTACTTTCATATAAAAAAGACAGATTCAAGCCACACATTTCTGTGTATATATGATAGGTATCATTCTTTGGTTGGACTTGAGGAAAGTTATCTCAAATGCAAAGCCCTGTTCATTCAGCCCTTGTGCTGTCAAAATACAGTATATGTTTTTGAAGATAAATAACTTTGAGACAAAATACTGGGCTATTTACAAATACAGATTGGATTTGATATTGTACATTTGATTTGATATTGTAAATGTGTAATACTAGAGTAATAATGTCTTGTGTGATGTATTGTGTTATTGATTATGTAGGCTGTAGTTGTGTTTTGTTGTGATGTAACTGTTTTAACCATGTTTGAACCCCAGGAAGAGTAGCTGCTGCCTTGGCTGTAATGGGGATCCTAATAAATACTACATACATTTTTTTTAAAGTGAGGGCATCTTTATCAAGAGCGTTGAAAGTACAACCAATCCTAAGGTGAGGAAGTGATTACCCATGATCCTTCATGCCCAGTGCCCACTGTTCTTAAAGCCGGGTGTACACTACACAACTTTTAAAATCCTAACATCGCTGAGCCTCTCACAATAAACCACCATCTTTCCTGTCGTTTCCTGTCTTGCCAACGTAGTGGTGCGCACACTTAACGATGTGGCACAGACGGAGGGTCACACACTACAAGATTCTTCACCGGGTCGTGAGGATTCTCCATACCATGCTGTCTCGCCAAAACAATGATGTTTTGATGTGATTAGATTTAACGTAGCTACAACAAGCTGTGGCTCAAAGCAGCCTCAAACATGTTCAGTCAGACATTCACTCTTGCCATACAGAGTTGAAATATCTAGACAACAATTTGAATTGAATAACATTACTTGTGAACTTCAGACCTGTAACGATTTGACACTTTGGCTTTGGTTAAAGGCAAGTACAAACGCATAATCGTAGTAGTCATTCTGGGTGATGCAAAACAACGTCATCATCTCACTGGCTTCTTCACTGGCGAGCTCTCATTGGCTATTGTTGATCACCCTTCTCAAAACTTGTGGTTGCACATCTCACACTACAAGAACATTGCAGATTTTGTGCCGATAAAATCAACGGGACGTCTGGGACTGCTCAAAGACGAGATTGGTAGCCCTCAGATTGCGTCTCTGACCCTCTCACATGAAACGAGCGTCGGTGATGGCCGCGCTCCCCGAGTAGGCAACGACATTGGGATTTTGTCTCCAATCTCAAAAACTTGTCTGGGACAGCCAAATCGGGGCCAAAATCATGGTGTCCACCCTGCTTAAATTGTTCAGATGTCATCACTGCTCACTCCCTCTGCCAAACAGAGAGACCAGGGTTGCATCCCAAATGGCACCCTATTCACTACTAAGACTCAGGTAAAATGTAGTGCACCACGTAGGGAATAGGGTGCCATTTGGGACGTCGCCCAGGTATTTTAAGTGACATGGGTGGAGGAATGCCATGTAAACTCTATGGCATTTGTAGGGTTGAAAAACAACCAACCAATGCCATCCCTCCCTTGCCACTTTGATAAGTGTTGGCACCCACATCCAAGGCCTTCAAGATACCCACCCAGATGTCACTGACAACCCTCTGAAGGAATGACAGATGGAATGTTCTGTACCAGCGGCTGTTGAAACTCGGCTGATACCGTATCAAACCCACCTTAGATGTAAGAAAATGTGTGAGACAAATTTCAGGAAGTGTTTCGTCTGCTTCTGAAAGTTGGTCTACAACAGGCTCCATTGACTGACAAATGAATCATAAGGCTTTTGGTATTACTGTTGAAATCCCTTGTAGTTGAATCACAGGATTGGCCTTATTCCCTAGCCTAGAGAGCGCTGGGCTCTAGGTGAGGTAAAGACTGTCATCTTAGCTCTTCAACCCCCCCCTAACTCCCCACACTCCACCCACCCCGCCTACAGAGAGCAGTTTAAGGGCGGGACATCTCAATCGGCTAAAAGGGGGGGAGGCCAGGATAAGGGATTATTTCAGTCATTCAACCTGAACCAGAATGGGTGTCATTGTGATCCTCATCACTGTAATAAAATCACATTAGACTGGGGGAATATGAATACATATGAATGAATACATATCCCCCAGGCAAGGGATTGAAATATATTTGTCTCTCTCTTCTCTTCCTCAAAACAATGATGACATTGTATTGACCTGCTAGTTACAGCTGGAGGAATACCTCTGAACAGAACAGTTCTCTCTCTCTCTCTCTCTCGCTAGAGAATAGAGAAGATAGGCCTCGAAGCGAATCCGGTCTAGAGCGAGCCGAGAAGAGAGAGGAGAGAGAGAGGAGAGAGATAGATGGAGCGAGAGCATCTGCTAAAGGCTCTCTCTCTCGAGTCTCTCTCTCTCTCTCTCCCTTCTCCTTCTCTCTCCTCTCTCTCCTCTCCTCCCTCTCTCTCTCGCGGTGCTCTCAAATCTGCTTTGTACTAACCACAGTACAGCACTGCTGTACAACAGACTTCAAGCCAGTCTTGAGTAATAAATGGTTTAAATATAGTTGTATTTATGGTTCATAACAGCTCATTGAAACCACAGAAAGGAACATGAAAAGGTATTCTTACTTAGACCACTGTAGCTTGGCTTGTGATGCATGCACCTGCAAGGTAGTGCCAGTTGTGCTTTCAATCAGAACTACTCTGGACTCAATCCCAGCCTGATCTTCAATCAGAACCACTCTGGACTCAATCCCAGCCTGATCTTTTGAAGTGTAGAGAATATGACCTACATTTTTTACCTGTACAAATATAAAAGTGCTGCCGGTACAAGGCTTACAATCCTGTACATATTCCGCAGTGAACATACCATTTTTAAAGATTATACGTTTGTTTTCTTACTTTGTAAAGACCCCGTGTAATGGAGCTATAAGGGTACGATCAGCTATTGAAATAGGTTAATGAGACAGAGCGTTATTAAAAGGTAGAATAAAAAGAGTGCTTACCCTCCCTCCTGAAATCCCTCGAGTTCATCTCTCTGTTCTGCCAGGGTAGACTCCAAGTCCAGGTAGCTCCCATTTTGGGAGAGCTGGAGGGAACAGTCATCAAGCTAGATAGGAGATAAAGAGAGAGATTGCATCATTAATACCTCCCGCTTCATACAGCTAAAGCTACGACACACTATAGCTATTATATATTATACAGCTAAACCTACGACACACTATAGCTATTATATATTATACAGCTAAAGCTACGACACACTATAGCTATTATATATTATACAGCTAAAGCTACGACACACTATAGCTATTATATATTATACAGCTAAAGCTACGACACACTATAGCTATTATATATTATACAGCTAAAGCTACGACACACAATAGCTATTATATATTATACAGCTAAAGCTACGACACACTATAGCTATTATATATTATACAGCTAAAGCTACGACACACCCTTGATTTCCTCAACGCTAACCCCAGCCAATAGCACACAATTTGGCTATCCATGGACAATCCATGGTGCTCGGTTTCCCTCCAACTGCCCAGAGGAACGTTTGAACTCAGTCAAAACATGGGCTGTTTGTATGCTGGATGGATGTATACGTCCATAGCTAACATTTCTGAGTGAGGTAATGGGGTGACGTCTCCCAACCTCTCCTGTTATCCTATCAATCTGTTATCAATCCATCACTCATTTCATTATGTCTTGCATCACTGTGAAAATAACTAGGTATGCTTGTTCTATGAAAAATATCCCTTCAATGCTTTCATACGGTTCATAACATCTCAAGGTTCTGGGAATAACAGGTCATAGGCTAAACTAGGCCCTTGTTTGAATACTTTAGAAATGCATCCTTCCTTCCTAGCTTCCTTTTAAAGGATTCACAGATCTGAATTGGTTGGATTGATGTACGTAAATAAAAGGGCGGTATGTACCCTTGCTTTGTTTAGACTATCCAATTACTGATAGAGCTGCAATTACCTCAGTGTTATCTCTCGTGGACAGATTCTCGTGGACATGAAACAGCAAGAATCTATCAAGGCTCACGTGGAATTGTGTGATTACGAGCAGCAGTAGTTCCTGGTTTTTGGTTTTCATTATTTGATTATTTGGACAAATCAGGTTGGGTGAAGGTGGTGCTTATATTGGTGCATTGATTTTCAAGCCTGTGTGCGGATGATAAACAGTTTCCACTAGATTCCACAGCCATGAAGTCAAAATTGGCTTTATCATAAAAATTCATGAAAACAAATATTTGCTTTTTGGCCATGATAAACACGGGTGAAATTAGCG